CAGAAGCTCAGAACACTATGGCACCTGCTAATTCATCTATGTGGCAACTTTACATGGCATACACATATTTAGAGTGTGGGTTTTCTTTAGAGTCATGACACTGCCCTTCTAGCTGATCTGAAAAATGAAAAACACATTGAGATCTAGTCTTTTAAAATTCCTCTTAAAATTGAGAAATCAAGCAAGCATGCTATAAAGGAGACTGTTTAATTTAAGATTTTATAGGAACCCTCTAAACAATCACCTGCATCACTGCAGAGTCGTACTCTGCACTGGGCCACACAGTGTCCTGTGAGGAGCCAAGTTCTTCTGACACTTTATATCTGGTGGTTTCTAGGCCTCTCTTTCTCGGGAACCAAGGGGTCCCTTCTGTCACAGATTGCTGACACCCAAGGCCAAGCAGCACTGGGTTTTGGGGAATCATAGAGGCAACTTCTAGGCAAGGGTCCCAGGGCAGGAGCCAGCTGGAGAGGACAGTAGACAACTCATTGTTTGGGGAAAGGGTTTGAGAAATTCTTATTACACCAGTTCTATTATTCTGTATTCCATCTTGTCTATTCTGTTTTTCTTATTTAAACTCAAAACTAGAGTGCAAATTCCAGCCCTGATCAAAGCTCCAAATCCATACAGACACCTTCTCTGAGCCCCGCAGGCAGCAAATGTGCCTCTGACCACTCCCATCTGTTCAGAACCCATGAGCCACGGTCTGGAGCCTTCCTGACTCATCCACTCTCCCTCCCTTGACCTGAAGCGTCCTTGGTTTCAGGTCTCAACTTCTCACTGGATTTCCTCTCCGCACTGACACTTGACGGATGATTTTTTTCCCCCCTTAGGTATCTTTATTCCAGTGTACTAAACTATCAGGCTCAGAGTCCAGTGTCTCTGGATTATAGCTCTACATTGGCCTTTAGAGAGGAGAGTGGGTCCTGACTGTTCTCCTTGCCTAGGTTTTCTGAAATCTGTGTTTCTTGGGGCTCCTCAGCTACACTATTTCACACAGGGTCTTCAGGCCTTCACCCCCCAGAAAACACAGAGGCCGGGCCTGGGGGCATCCGTGTCCACTGTGGCACTAAGGCTCCCACTCCTCCAGTGGGGGGAGTCCTGAGACTGTGGCTGCAGCTGAGACTATGACCTCACAGGGTCTCCCCATTTGCAGTGCTAATGACCAGAGCTTCAGCTGGAAGTGGCCTCAGCCCTGCATAATTCTGACATGAGGAGACAGTAGGTTTCTATGCAGGATGATCTTTTGTCTCTTTGGAGCAGGTGAGTCCTGAGAGTGCTTGGGAAATTCTTATCCTGTTTACCTAAGGCAGGTTCCAACATTTTGTTTCAGGACCCTGTTTACTCCACAGGATGCATGGAACCTGGAGTCAGCTAAACTCCTGACTGCGATGTCACAGATGAGAGAGAGCATGGCTCAGAGGGCCCACGTTCTGGTTCACAGATGACTCCTGCTCACTCTGGCCTCAGATGCTGGGAGGGGCAGCTAGCTCTCTGATGTCTCTGTAAGGGCATAACCCCTTAGGCCTTCATGACCTAATTCCCTCCCAAAGGCTTTACATCCTAATATCATCACATCAGGGCTTAAAATTTCAACATATGAATTTTGGGGACACACTCAGATGATGGAAATTATCTTTCTTTTAGTATTCTTGGTGTCCCAGTGGTATCAGTTGCTCTAATATTGATTTCTAAAATAAAAGGGTACATAAAATTGTCTCCGTGTAAGGAGGGAGTCAGACAAGGTGGGACTTAAACCACTTCCGCCATCTTGTTTTCTCACTGCAGTCTTGGGCTCACCACTCATATTCTTCATACTTCTGTCCAAAATAGCTTCCATCTTCCCAAAAGATTATAATCGTTATTGGTGAGTTTCTGATATTCATATTTCTTTCTTGCCTCATCAGGTTCATCTGGAGAAGGAGCCAGGAGATGATACTAGTTTGCAACTTTAGGAGAAGTCTGATTCATGAGCTCATTTTCCATACATTTTTATAATATTATCTCTGCCTGTTCTTATCTGAAATATAATAGTCATTTATCATGGGATATGAGGCATCTCTGAAGAAATCTCTATATTCTGTTTTGTTTCTTTTTCTAGCTAAGGAATAGCCAGCAATCTAGCAATTTTACCTAATTAAACTAAAAAATTTCTAGGTATTCGCTCTACAGTAGAATAATATACTAGCCCTTAATGTGAATGACACTGATGGCTCATATTTACATGATTTTATGTAGAAGCTTTCTACTCTCTACAATCAGAAACTGCATCAGACACACCAGCTTCTATTATGAAAGGTTTTGGTGGGTTACGTATGCACAAAATCCATAAAAAGTATTCAGTCGTAGAACATTGCCATCTGGGCTTCAGAGGATTTCACCTGTTTTATATCCATGGATGCTCCCTCAATGTGGCATTTTCTCCTCTGGATGGCATCTTGGAAGAGGTGCTGGTCACTGATTACAGCTCATGGGCATGTTGGCTAGTGACCACCAATGTCAGATGCAGCTGGATCGGAACCTCTTCTTAGTGATGTCCCATGGCATTGTTTACCTTTGGACTTAGAAAGTCCAGCAGTAGTTTAGATGGCAATAGCTACGTTTGTTCTATGTGTTTAACTGTTCTTAAGATTTGATAATTGATATGACAAATGTAGATATTTAAATAAATTCAGATTAGCAATCAACTAAATCAGAAGTAGCAAGCGGGCTGGGTATGGTGGCTCATGTCTGTAATCCCAGCACTTTGGAAGGCAGAGGCGGGCAGATCATGAGGTCAGGAGATTGAGATCATCCTGGCTAACACAGTAAAACACCGTCTCTACTAAAAATACAAAAGAATAGCTGGGCGTGGTGATGCGTGCCTGTAGTCCCAGCTACTCGAGAGGCTGAGGCAGGAGAATCGCTGGAACCTGGGAGGCAGAGTTTGCAGTGAGCCGAGATTGTGCCACTTGCACTCCAGCCTGAGCGACAGTGAGATGGTAGCAAGTGAAGGACAGCAGTTCTGTAACGGAATCCTTCTCAGATTCTGTTTTCCAAAGTCTCCTGTTCATGTTTTTAATTCCACATTAACCCAAACAGTCTCTCCTTCTAGTATGCTAAGTGTAGAACCATGAAGAAAATGTGAGAAATTTAGTCATTATCTGTACATATCTTTGCTCATATATGGGAAAGTGGGCATCAGAATATTGTCGAAGAATACACGTAAAAAGAGGATTTTTAAAAAAATTGTACTTTAGGTTCTGGGGTACACACGCAGATCATGCAGGATTGTTGCATAGGTACATACATGGCAAGGTGGTTTGCTGCCTCTGTCCACCTATATCTGGGATTTCTCCCCATGTTATCCCTCCCCAACCTCCCACCCCCTGCCCCTGCTGTCCCTCCCCTAACCACCCCCAACAGACCCCAGTGTGTGATGCTCCCCTCCCTGTGCTTATGTTTTCTCACTGTTCAACACCTGCCTATGAGCGAGCACATACGGTATTTGGTTCTCTGTTCTTGTGTCAGTTTGCTGAGAACGATGGTTTCCAGATTCATCCAAGTCTCTGCCAAGAACATGAACTCATCCTTCAAAAAGAGGATTTTTAAAAAAGAGGATAGATGGGAAAGAAACAAATTCCCCAGCAGCATGGGAACAGAAAGTATGATTTTCTTTATTTCTGGTTAAGCTGATTAGCAGGCACCTAGCACACAGTGCTTTAAGGTGTCTATTGGTTGCAAATTCATCCCAAAATTCTTGAGTCTATCTGCGGTGAGGGAGACAGGCAGACTTGGTGTGATTTCTAGCACAGACCTTCCTGCAGCACATCCACCTGAGCGAGGCCAGGTTTGCACCCTCTCCTTCATCAGAATTTTCTCAAAGGCAGACGTTTCTCCATCACCTTTTTTCCTCTTACCATACAAAAATGATCTTGAAGGAGATAAATATCACATTTTTCAGGCTTTGCATTGTTTCTATAGGGGAAATAAAGCATAATGGCTCCTAATTTAAACACATCCCAGGTCCTTGCACCACGGCAGAAGGGCCGTATTGGTCAACTCAGACTGTGGCTAAACACCAACTTCTTTTCTCACATTTCTGGAGGGTGGACTCTGAGTTGACCTCCTTCTGGCTGGCAGAGCACCCCCTTGTGGTTGAATCCTCACACAGTAGAAAGCAAGCAAGCCAGCTCTCAGGTGTCTCATCTCACAGGGCACTAATTATACTGGATCCAGGCTCAATCCTTATGACCCCATTAAACCTTAATTACCTCTATAGAGGCTCTGTCTCCAAATATGGTCTTCCTGGAGGTTGTATTTTGGGGGGACATAAACATTCAAATTGTAACAATGGCAAAATCTCAGTTACTTCACAGTGGGACACACAGGGCCAAATGTCTGAGCTCCAGATGTCTCTGGGGCAGGCACAGAGCCAGCAGCCTGGGACACAGGGGGTTAAGGAGCAGGCTTGCTCGATGCCTGTACTCATTAGAAGGTGTGATGCCACATACATAAAATTGCAGGTGTGCTTCCCATCAGGGAGCCATGCACTTCACCTACGCAGGGGTTAGGAAGTCTCTGTGAGCTTGCAAGGGAGAATGAAGGGTCCCTGCTGGGTTGGTACAACCTGCATGCCCTGGGCAGGGACAGACAGAGGAACAACTGCCTAAAGAAAAAAGCAAAGGACCTGTGGGAGGGACATGTAGCCTAATCCCAGCCCAGCTAAGAGCAGCCCAGTCCAGCCCTATATGGTATGTGAGAATATTTACAGCACAAAGCAGGTAAGCCAGGGACCTAACAAGGGAGGCAGGGTGCATGGGAACCTGCAGGGACTATGACATCAGAGCAGTGACATCACAGCCTAACATCTGAATCAGAGATGTGATGCCCAAAACCCCAGCTCTCAGAGGACAAGTACCCCTAGCAGGGTGACATCTGCCCAGCTCTGTCCCACCTGGCCATAGGCTCCAGGTGCCTCTGATGGAAAGGCCTTTGTCTCCTGTGGGGGGGTGGGTGAGTCTTTGGCACAGGTGGGAAGCCTCTGGAGCACGCCTCATCCAAGGCACCCTCAGGCTCCCTCCTGTGTTCTTTCCCCAGCCTCTCCCTCCCTTACAGGTGCAGTGGATTCTGCTGTACAGAACAGGGAGCACTGGATCTTAGGAAGCCTGCAAAGGGAGGACACAGGACAGTGACATCACAGAATACCCCTCCCATCAGGAAAAGCAAGGCTGAGAACTCAGCTCCTCCCCAGGAGGACTGAGCCCTGAGCACAGACACAGTGTTGCCTTCCCCTTCATGCCATGGGCTCCAGGCTACTCTGTTGGGTGCTGCTTTGTCTCCCAGTAGCAGGTGAGTCCCTGCAGACAGGACAGCACCCCCATTCTGAGCTTGCCCCCCACCCCTGTGTCCTCCACTTTACCTTGAGGAGGAGGTACCACCAGACTGTCTCCTGTGCTCATTTTCCATCTGCTTTTCCCACAGGCCTGGGAGAGGCTGGAGTCACACAAACTCCAAGACACCTGATCAAAATGAGAGGACAGCAAGTGACACTGAGGTGCTCCCCTATCTCTGGGCATAGCAGTGTGTACTGGTACCAACAGGCCCCAGGACAGGGCCCTCAGTTCCTCTTCCAATATTACAATGAGATACAGAATGAAAAAGGAAACTTCCCTGCTCGATTCTCAGGGCGCCAGTTCTCTAACTATAGCTCTGAGATGAATGTGAACGCCTTGGAGCTGGGGGACTCGGCCCTTTATCTTTGTGCCAGCAGCTTGGCACAGCCCTACAAAGCCAACCACATTCTGTGCAGAAACCTCCCTAGCCCAATGTGGAGCAACCTCAGCCCTGACATATCTGTGAGAACCTAGGGACTGCAGGGGGAAAGACAGGTAATTTAGGATGCTAGGACCCACAGCCTGGGGCTTTCTGCTACTCAGGGCTGGGGGAAACAAGGCCAAGAGGGGCTGCTCAGAGGATGATGCTGCTTCCGTAGGTTCACCGCAGAATTACCTTCTCTGCTTGATACTGTAAGCTACAGGGTAGAGGACATGTTCATAGTATAACAGCTGGCACTCTCTTTTAGAGGGCAGGGAATTCCATTTTGGGGTCAAGATTGTTGGTAATAGTACAGTGTTGAAGGTAAAATCACTGGGGTTTGCTTTGTATAATTTAGGGTGAAGAAATGGAGATTTGGGAAAAAGTGAAGGAGAGAGAACAAGATTTAAGATTTTTGAAAGTAGAGTTAGGGCAGAAGGTGATAAGAAGTGGTGTTTTGTGTACCAGAAGCTCTCTTCTCACCCTTCCCCAAATTTTCAATATCTAGAAAATATAAAGGAAGCACTTACAGCAACTAGCATCACTGGTGACCAGTCCCAGTTGGGGATATCACCAAAGAGCCACTTGCCTGGTGTGAGTCCTGGAGTTGGTTCTGCTCGCTTCCCTGTGGTCCTCTGGCCTCAATCTGATCTCTTCAGGGCACGAATCTAGTACTTTCCAAAACACAGATGAGATCATTTTACCCCTGAAGGTAAACAGGTAGATGCTCTCCAGTTTCCCTCAAATATGTTCTATTTCCCTGGGTTATCTTTCTGAAATTCATCAACCAGATCCAATTACCAACTGTGATTGATCAAACAGTTCTTTAAACATTTCCTAAAACTCAGCAGCCTTTACACACTCTGCTATTGTCCTTACTATTTCCATGGACTGGAAGAACCTTTGTTCTCCTAAGACAGGGCCAGATACTGATCATCTGTAAAGGCAGGCTCATACCCACCTTCCTCTTCGCTTCCTACTGAGACATTCCCTGGGACTGCACTGTATCACTCTCTTTCCTTTATTTTCCTAAGTAAAGCCAGGTTTGTAATTGATTCTATTTGATGTTTGTAAAGTGAGTAAGTTAATGCCCACTTGTACTGAGTTCTGGAGGATGATTAATTACTGCCTTCCCTTCACAAAGGATTCTTCTTACCTGAAATATCATGGATAGTGATTATGAATAGTCTCAGTATTTCATACAACCTCTGCAATACTCTGAGCAATTGTGTCATCACAGCCTGGATTGGTGGCCTGTAGATAAAGTATCCTAACTATATCTAACGCTGTAATTTGTAAATGTTCTTCTGGAGCAAAAAAATCACATTATAGTAATATCTCTTCAGTCTCATGATCCTGTAAAAATATTCCTTGCCATAACCACACTTTCCCCAACCACATCTTTAGAGATTTGATGAGGCTGGAACCTCATCAAGGGTGCTTTTCAGAAATCAGCCTAAAACTCAGACAGGAAAGTCAGCTGTGTGCAGTCATGGAATGTTATCATCTTTGGCAAGTAAAAGATATTGTGTGTGCATGTGCATGTGTGTGTGCATGTACATGTACATGGGTGTGTGTGGGCACGCGTATGTGTGTTCTTGTGGAGACTCACCCACATGGACATAGCTTCTCTGGTGGCATTACTAAGAGGTGCTGAGTCACTTGTGGAGCTCATTGGCACTTCTGGGGAGTGACAGGAAATGTCACAGCCAATTGAATCTGCCTGACTTAGAGCTGATAGGGTTGGTTATTTCAAGATTTTGTAAGTTCAGAAATAAATTTTATAAAAATTTAAAAATCCTCTTTATAAAACACACTATCTAAAATTTGCTAATAATTCATTTAAATAATTCATTAACCAACATTTTGATTGCAAAATATACAATGTTACAGCATTGCAATTAGAATTAAATTAGTACAAAGTATGTAAACATGGGTCTGATTAATCGAAAGGAACTATTGAATACAGTTTCCAGGCTAGGCCTGCTTGATAGCTTCATGCTGTTTAAATCTGTAGCTTATATTTTTCAGGCTCCTCTCATTCATCCTAGCATACTAATTGCAATCCTGTAACATTGTTCATTTTGCAATCAAAATGTTGGTTAATGCATGCTTTTGCCTTCACTAGCTAAAGATGGACTTTAAGATCAGCCCTAGGCCGGGCGCTGTGGCTCATTCTTGTAATCCCTGAACCTTGGGAGGCCACCGCAGGTGGGATCAGCTGAGGTCAGAGTTTGAGACCAGCCTGACCAACATGGTGAAACCCGGTCTCTACTAAAAATACAAAATTAGCCAGGCATGGTGGCACATGCCTGTAATCCCAGCTACTTGGGAGGCTGAGGCAGGAAAATTGCTTGAACCTGGGAGGTGGAGGTTGTGGTGAGCAGAGATCACACCATTGCACTCCAGCCTGGGCAACAAGAGCAAAACTCCGTCTCAAAAAAATAATCAACCCTAAATTGGCCCTTTTGGGAAAGCATAGAGAGGGCGTGTGTGAGAGAGCAGGCCATTTCTGTTCCTTCTTTGGATAATCTTGAGCTCATCAGGTCAGGTGTGAATCCATGCGACTCTGAATTTTTGGCCACTTGGAGGCGCTGTGGCTCCACAGTACTGCAGAGAACTCAGTGGAGGGCTGGAGAGTGGCCAGGAGAGGAGGGCTGAAGGGGAGGCCTGGCTGCTTGCTGGCATCAGGGGCCCTCTGGGATTCCCTGAGTGGGGCCTGGACATGTGGAGTTAAACACAGACCCCTAACTCCCAAGGAAGGGTAGGGGTGCTAGAGGCCTCAGTTTGCACCAAGAAGGGAGTGTTTCTGCCTCTGTATGGGCAGTGGAGGGTGAAGAGGCTGGGGTGGGAAGGGCTGGGAGTGAGTGTCAGGTCTAGGACCGGGAAGGCCGAGGAAAGGAAGGTGTGATGTGGGCATGTGGGGACTGCATTGCCACACCTTTAATTTCAGGGCTGTGTAGGACTGGAAGATCTCGTGGAGCAGCAAAGCTTGGGCCCTGCCAGTAGTTGCAGTGTGCAGGGGTGGCCTGCAGAGAGAGTCACTGGGAAAGGCCAGCTCCCGGAGGATATGCCAGAAACTTTCTTGCCCCTGTTCACGAAGTGACCTTGACACAGGTGCTTCCAGCTAGCGGGGCTCAGGCCCTGCTGAGCTGACAGGCGTTTCTTTTCCAGGCATTCTCTGCTGCTTCTCTAAATGCTTACTGAAATCACAGGAATTTATTTTTGTGCCTGTTTTTTTTTATACTAGGGAAGGCAGCTGTCTCTGGTCTCATATTTAATAACTGGCTATCGTGTGCTCTCCAACACCTCTACACCCTCCCCTACTCTGTACATCTGTCCCCTCATCTGGCTTCCTCAATCTAGGTCCCATTAGCAGGAGAGAAGGTCATGCCTCCTATGTGACCATTATAACCTCTTCCTTGACAGGTCCAAGAAACATATGACTTCAAGGCTAAGCATATCCATTCATCCTTCATTGTAGCAAAAAGGAAGATAAAACTTTCTACGTCGTAGAATTTCTGTAACGGATATGGTCTACCTTGAGGAAAAGTAACATGAGGAATTGTTATCCATTAGTTGTTTTATTTTATATCTTTTATTCAACAAAGTTGTTGAGGCCCTTTCTTTGTCTATTTTATGACATAAAATTAAAAATGAAAAACAGTTTAATAAAAAATATTTCTTTTTAGAGTATTAAGGCTTAAATTTATTTTATTTTAGTTTCACTTATTCAAAGTACTTTACTCAGTTTCTGAATTATACAAATTTCCTTTTCTCGTTCTTTCTCTCTTTAGCTACCTCCCTCATTTTCGCCAGCTTTTTAATTTAATGTGGTAAGAACATTTAACGAGATCTGTATTTCCAAACTGTACAACATAGTATTGTAATCTACAAGTACAAGCTTGTACAGAAGCTCTCTAGATCTTACTCATCTTGCTGAACTGAATTTATTTCTTTATTTATTTATAGACCAAGTCTTGCCCTGTCTCCCAGCCTGGAGTGCAGTGGTGTGATCTCAGTCCACTGCAACCTCCACTTCCTGAGGTCAGGTGAGTCTCCTGCCTCAGCCTCCTGAGTAGCTGGGACTATAGGCATGTATCATCACACCTGACTAATTTTTGTATTTTTAGTAGAGACGGGTTTTCACCATATTAGCCAGGCTGTTCTTGAACTCCTGACCTTGTGATACACCCACCTCAGCCTCCCAAAGTGCTGGGATTACAGGCGTGAGCCACTGCGCCTGGCCACTTAACTGAAATCTTATACCTGCTGACAGCAACTGCCCATTTCCTCTGCTCCCAGCCCTCAGATATCACCATTTTTATCTTTGCTTCCATGAGTTCGGCTTTTAGGTGTCCTGCTATACAGAACCACGCAGTATTTGTCTTTCTGTGCCAGGGTTGTTCACTTAGCACAATGTACTGCAGCTCTATCCATGTTGCCATGAATGGCTGGATTTTCTTCTTTTTAATGCTTAATAATATTCCATTGTACGAAGATACCACGTTTATGGGCTTTGACTGTTTCTGTGAAACCCTCTGTCACATGAGCGGCAGAGTCATTGGCAGAACTGAAAGCATGGATTACATTAACGCACATTCACCTCTCAATTCTACTCCATGGACAAGATTTCAAAAAAAATAATAATTCTGTCATTTACTGTTATTTTACTATACACAAAATAGAAGTCCTTGAGGAAGTTTCAATTATTTAGAAATTCAACTGCCAGAAGGAAACCTTAAGACACAAATGTTTTTCTCATTGTGAGAGAATTGGTCCATCAGTTAAATAACTTGACCAAATTAAATAACTATTAGGATGCAGTACTGGGACTCCAACCCTGCCCAGTGTAAGATCCGTGTTCATAGCTCTGTGCTATAAACTATTTCATAAAGCTTCCAACCTACAAAAAATTGGAATGTTTTCCCCTATATCCCTTTTAGACCTGCTGGCTCTAGTAACATCATAGCTGGAGATCAGTTTACCCTGGAGACAGTGGTGAAAGGAAAGAAGTCTGAAGAGGCATCATGACGCCCAGTCCTGACTCCCGTTCTAACACCAGCTCATCAAGACCTGAGGCCAGTTCTTGACAGGTTAAGTTTAATTTCTTAATTTTGTATCTACCAAATGAAACTACTACTGTCCATCAACAGATTTCTATATAAAATTGAGTAGCTACCGGGCATGGTGGCTATGCCTGTAATCCCAGCACTTTGGGAGGCCGAGGCAAGCAGATCACCTGAGGTCAAGAGTTCGAGACCAGCCTGACCAACATGGAGAAGCATCGTCTTTACTAAATATACAAAATTAGTCAGGCGTGGTGTCGCATACCTATAATCCCAGCTACTCGGGAGGCTGAGGGAGGAGAATTGCTTGAACCCAGAAGGCAGAGGTTGCAGTGAGCCAAGATAGTATCATTGCATTCCAGCCTAGGCAACAAGAGAAACTCTGTCTCAAAAAGAAAAAAAGAAAAAAAAATGTAATAGCATAAAGTATCTAGTATATAGTTCAAGCCTAGATGTTTTGATTCCCTTTGCTGATCTCAGACAACCTCTTCCACCATACCAGTGTGCAGACAGATATGGACACATTCCACCAAGAATTCTTAGATTGAGGACTCAGAAGTCACAGAAATGGAAATATATATGCCTGATAATTCATTTGATAAAATTAACTAGAGGATGTAGCATACATATCCCCTCAGACATTTAAAAATCAACATTACTAATATCTAAATTATATGAGGTAGACATGGCACCTTTTAAATAAACAGATCAGTGATTTTTGAGCAACATATATGTACATACGCATGCAACTCCACCTCTATGAAGATGTAAAACATCTGTGTCACCCAGAAAGTCCCTCATACCCCTCTGCAGTACCTCTCTTTGTCCCCAACAACCAATGATGGCACGTCTATAACTAGAGGGTAGTTTTCTTTACAAATATTTTTAATGCAAATTTAAAACATCTTCTGATTAATCCTCTTGAATACATAGCTAAATCACCAAGGCAGGGAGGCATTCCTGGAAGGTTTTATGGTTTTAGAAGGGGTTGAAGCCACGTGAGCTACCTGATCCATGTTAGGGACAATTCTATCTGGAGATGGACGTTGTGCTAAAATAACCTTAAAAGGTCTCTTTGACTGGTAGCAGCTGCTTCTACAAAATGTATTCATTTTTATTCATTTATTTTATCATCAACTCATTCCATCAAATAACTTTATGTTATGTATTGACAGAAATTAATTATCTTTATGGAAATTATTTTGAGTTTCCATCAGACACACACGCAGCTGGGCTTTGTGTTCACACAGTAAGCATGTGGGATCAAGCAAACCATAGTAACAGTGACTTCATTGACAGATGATGTCTTATTGGGAGAAGGGTTCACTTGGACTTGACCCCAAGTGTCCAACCCATAAAACCTGAGCCTTGATCTAAAATCCATCTTCCTGTTCTCTTCCTGCCCTGGACACCACGCCACTGTACCATGTGTTTCTCCATCTTCTGAACAAGAGTCCTGGGCCCACATGTGGAACGTATTTGTGGGCTTGTTGGATCCCAGGGGACTTGGGGACTTGGCGGGGACAGTGGGTGGGGTCGAGGGATAAAAGACTACAAATATGGTGCGGTATATACTGCTGGGATGATGGGTCAACCAAAATCTCACAAATCACCACTAAAGAACCGACTCATGTAACCAAGCACCACCTGTACCCCAGTAACATGAAAAAATCAAAACTAAACTAAAATAAATACTGTGACTTTCAGTACCAGGTGGCCCTTTGCTGTGACTTTATATGTCCTTTCTTCTTAAGTCCCATAGATGCTGAGTGACCCAGACCCTCTTGTGCTGACAGGAAGCCAGCACGGGGGAGGTGAGCAGAATATGAAACAAAATCATGTGTTTACCACCAGTGGCAAGACTCATTGGCTGGTCCTTTGTTCAGACACTGTTAAGAATTTGAAGATCATGAAAGCAGAGTGTAAAATCAAGTGCAGGGTCCTTCCAAACGTGGGGCTCTGTGCACCAAAGAGACGGTTTTCATGCTCCTTTTTTTTTTTTTTAAAACACTCCATGTTCATGACTGTAGGCTATGACAGAAATATTTTTTAACTTTAATTTGTATTTTTCCAGGTGTTATTGAGGTACGGGTGGTATTTGGTTACATGAGTAGGTTCTTTAGTGATGATTTAGGAGATTTTGGTGTACCCATCACCTGAGCAGTATACACTGCACCCTATTTGTAGTCTTTTATCCCTCCCACTCTCCCCACCAAGTCCCCAAAGTCTGTTGTGTCATTCTTATGCCTTTGAGTCCTCATAGCTTAGCTCCCATATATCAGTGAGAACATACAATGTTTGTTTTTCCATACCTGAGTTGCTTCACTTAGAATAATACTCTTCCATCTCATCCAGGTCACTGCAAATGCTGTTAACAATTCATTCGTTTTTCTGGCTGCATAGTATTTCATCATATATCACAGTTTCTGTATCCATTTGTTGATGGATAGGCATTTGGGTTAGTTCCTTTTTATTTATTACTAAATTAATGGCAGGAATACTGCACAAAGGGATATAGACTATGAAATATGTCATCTCAAATAAACCCAGAGCTCCTTCCTTACCCTAAAGTCTGCCCTGTCTCCCCAAGTCCCTCATGCCCAGGACACCTTTATGCCCATAGATCATGGGCAGCGCTGGGCGGCCACCATGGTCCACACAGAGAGAGGGCAGTCACCAGCACGAGGTTGTCCTGCCTGCTGTGATCTCCACTGACACAGAAAGCAGAGTCCTGGGTGGAGCTGAAGGTGCTCAGCTGGGCTTGTCAGGAGTCCCATCCGTCAGTGAGTTGCCAAGAAACAGAGCAAAACGACTCCTCCAATGTCGATGAGCCTGCCCCTGGGATTTGGAGACCTGATGACAGAGAAAACCAATATAGGCACAGGACTTTAACAGGATTATGGTCAATTAAGCAAATTAGAAAAGGATACTTGAAGGAGTATCTGGGACACAGGAGTCAAAAACACCAGGAAGACAAGATGATTTTTTTCTAAGATTCTATACTATAGCAATATTTAGATAACCAACACCAGTGTATCAATGAGTAATTATTATTATTATTATTATTATTTTGAGATGGAGTCTTACTCTATCATCCAGGATGGAGTGCAGTGGCATAATCTCGGCTCACTGCAAACTCTGCTTCCCTGGTTCAAGTGATTATGGTGGCTCAGGCTCCCGAGTAACTGGGACTACAGGTATGTGCCAGCATGCCTGGTTGATTTCTATATTTTCAGTACAGATGGGGTTTCGCCATGTTGGCCAGGCTGGTCTCCAACTCCTGGCTTCAAGTGATCTGATCTCTTCAGCCTCCCAAAGGGCTAAGATTACAGATGTGGGCCACCATGCACAGCCAAGTAATTATATCACCATGGGAATGTATATTATACAAACTATACATTGTGTAATATACCATTGAGTTACAAACTAATTACCAAAATTATACATTGAGTATAATTTTGAGTTACATTGAGTTACAAACTAATTACCAAAAGATTGGAAAAAAAATGTAGACTTGCATCAATTCAGACAAAGGCATTCTTCCCATCCAACTTGTTCACTGGTGCATTTATCTTGAAATTGACTATCTGGAGCAGAGGCGTGGCCTCTCCTGACAGGAAGGTGATGGGGCCCAAGCAGGGAGAATGAGGTCTCAGAATGACTCCCTTGAGAGCCCTGTTCCCCGTTCATCAACACACAGACCCAGAAGACTCCTCCGTCCTGCAGCACCTGCCATGAGCATCAGCCTCCTGTGCTGTGCAACCTTTTGTCTCTTTTGGGCAGGTGAGTCCTAGGCAGGGCTCCTGTGTGGATTTCAAGGCCCAGAGCCTTCCTCCTGGGGCTGCAGCATCAGCTTTGTTCTCCTTCTCTGCAGGTCCAGTGAATGCTGGTGTCACTCAAACCCCAAAATTCCAGGTCCTGAGGACAGGACAGAGCACAACAATGGAGTGTTCCCAGGATATGAACCATGACCGCATGTACTGGTATCGACAAGACCCAGGCATGGGGCTGAGGCTGATTCATTACTCAGTTGGTGAAGGTACCACTGACAAAGGAGAAGTCCACGATGGCTACAATGTCTCCAGATCAAACACAAAGGATTTCCCACTCAGGCTGGAGGCAGCTTCTCCCTCACAGACATCTGTGTACTTCTGTGCCAGCAGTGACTCCACAGTGCTGCAAGGCTGTCTCCTCTCTGCACATAAAGGCAGGGAGGCTCTGCCCTCCTCCCCCACCCAAGACTCAGCAATGTCCTTGGTCCTAGCACCAGAAACTTTGGAGCCCCAATGGGCCCAGGCAGTGTGAGCCTTGGTCTGGGCCAGGTGCCTCTGCAGTCAGTGTAATCCAGGCCTGGACTGGTCGCAGGGCCTCAGATGTCTTCTTTGTGGCCCTCTGGTCTTTCCTCTGAGCAGTCCATTTGGGTTGGGGCCAGGGTTTTCCCGTCTCTGACTTTCCTAGTCATTGACCTGAGTCTGAGGACTCCTAGATGGAATAGGATTTATATTTCAGATCCATTTAGACTCCCATCTCTACCTGGGTACCACATGCTTTCCTCTCTCTATGATTTTTCCTCATATAGAACCCAAATGGGGTCTTAGTTGCAGTCTGCATTTCCTATATTCACAGTTACCCTCCAAGGCCTTACCGGGTTTCTCCTCCCCAGTCTCCTGCCCTTCTCTACTCCAGCCAGGTTGAGAGACTCCAAAGTCCATTTCCTGTGCCCTGGGCTGGAACCTTCCTTTCTGTAGTGGTTGACACCTACCTGGACCTCAGATCTCAGCATGATCAGCCCTAATGATAATCACCATTATGCTTCCCTTGCCTCCCAGCTAAGGTCAGTTTCTCTCTCATAATCTCTCATGGTATCATGTGTCTGTTAGTCAGTAGAATGTAGCACAATTGGAATCTTCCAGACACTTTAAACCGCATGAAGGCCAAGGCTATGCCTGCTTTATATACCAACAGCAGTGCCTGGAACATAGGGAGACCCATTTCATAGAGAATGGATGAGTCAATGACTACCTGATGAGTGGATGGATGGATGAATACCAGGAGCACCCTAGATCCATTTTACCCTGGCAGAGATCTGGCATGAAGGACAGGAAATCTTACCCCTTTGATTGCTGGATTAGGGTAGGTCCTTGAAATTGATGGGGAGTCGCTATCGGGGTGGCCACCCCTAGGTCAAGGCTTCCTCGTGTGTTCACAGCACCAGGCCTCCTCCAGGTCCCTGTGGCCTCTTTCAGGCTCTTTTCCCCACAACAAATGTAAACAGATCAGAGATCCATTTCCAGAAACCCATGCATACAGTTTTGGATTTGTTTTTTTTTTTTTAAACCAATTCTGGTATCAAAAACTCCATTAGGTTTACATCAACAAAATGAAGCCACTAAAAGTACTATGGAGAGGAGGATTTATGACAGGAATTAGACCTTATATAAATGTAGGGGGAGCTGAGGAAGAGAAGGTCTGGAGGGGAGATCTAGCTAGGCAGGTTTAACTTATGATTAATGTGAAATCCTATTCTACTCAAAGGAGAGCATATGATTTCAACATACAAAATATATATATTGATTTGTCAAGGCATGGTGGCTCATGCCTGTAATTCCAGCACTTTGGGAGGCCAAAGTGAGCGGATCACAAGGTCAAGAGATCAAGACCATCCTGGCCAACATGGTGAAACACCATGTCTACTAAAAATACAAAAATTAGCTGGGCATGGTGGTGTGCACCTGTAGTCCCAATGACTCAGGAAGCTGAGGTCGGATAATCACCTGAACCTGGGAGGTGGAGGCTGTAGTGAGCCGAGATCGCACCACTGCACTCCAGCCTGGTGACAGAGCAAGACACCATCTCAACAAACAAACAACAACAGCAAAAGTAATTGATTTTCCTTTGTAATAGTTGGACCTAAATAGTGAGCTATTTTGTCCCATAATTGTCTTAAGTTGGCTAATGGTGGGAAAAAACCTTTGATGCTAGGAGTTCGATTTCCTTGGAAGAACAGGAGAAAAAGTCATGCACAGGCAGCCTTACACGCTGTATTTTATGGAGGAACCATAATAAAAAGGAAATGGAAAATCAGAATTCTCTTCTGGAACCTACATTGGGGCCATCCTCTGAGCAGGATGTGAGGAATCTAACCTACGGCGGGTATTTGGCAGCTCAGAGTGCAGCAGACAGTTTCTGACTCCACACATTTGGGGGTGAGACCGCAGACAGCTGAAAAAGCTACAGAGTCTAGACATTCTGCACTCTCAACCCTGGCCTCTCCGGAATTTCACAGATTAACATCAGAGCAATTTATTCCCACTATTCAAAATACTAAAACAAAAACCAATAAGAAGCAGTGAGCAGAAGCAATAAACCATTAAAACAGACATGACATCCTAAAGATTTAAAACTTTGCCTTCATAAGATGTGAACGTTTGAAGAACTTTATTTAAAGGAATACAAGAAGGAACTGAAACAAGAACAAGAAAAAAGAGACGGTCCCAAACCATCAAAAACATTAAAGAAACAATCAAATAGAATGTCTAGAAATCATTACGATTACTACAGAAAAGAGAACGGAAGCTAAACAGCAGATTAGATGCTCCTAAAGAGATTAGTAGAATATCAAAATAGATACCAAGAAATCATCGAGAATGCAGCACAGAAAATTAAAAACAAAATATTTAAAAAGTGAAGGAACTAGGAAAAAGTGAAGTTTCTAGTATATTATAAAGTATATAATGTTTTATTGAAAAGAAATTTTTTTTGAGGCAAAGTTTTGCTCTTGTTGTCCAGGCTGGAGTACAATGGCACAATCTCGGCTCACTGAAAACTCTGCCTCCCAGGTCCAAGCGATTCTCCTGCCTCAGAGTCTGGAGTAGTTGGGATTACAGGCATGCACCACCGCACCCAGCTAATTTTGTATTTTTAGTAGAGATGAGTTTTCTTCATGTTTGTCAGGCTGGTCTTGAACTCCCTACCTCAAATGATCCACCTGCCTCAGCCTCCCAAAATGCTGGGATTACAGGCTTGAGCCACTGTGCCCAGCCTTATTGAAATTTTTCTTTTTTTTTTTTTTTCTTGTACATAATTGAAGGTTTAGAAAGAGAAAATAGGGAAAATGGCCTGAGGTGACTGTGTATGTGATGTTAGCTGAGAATGTTCCTGAGATGTTTGAGGACCTAAATCCTCTTTCAAGAATTCAGATGAATTGCAAGACAAATAGGCAGGTCCCAGTGAAAGTGCAGAGCATAAATGACAAACAGAAGATTTTAACAGCAGTCAAAAGGGAACGATAAATATCTTCCAGTGGAATAGAATGAAAGAAACAGTCAGAGTCAAGAAAGGATGAAAAATAGCCGTTAAATCAGAATTGTAGCCCTCATTTATTGAAGATTGAGATTGATAAAAATATCTATAGGACAGGAAAATAAAATATGGAAAACTAAAAAAAAAAGCTGTGAGTTTGCCATCAAGGTATCTTTTCTGATAACAAGGGTGGGAAACGGTCCCAGAAGAAAGGCATGAGGTGCAGCTCGTGAGGGAACCCTTGTGATGGGACAACCCCATTGGGCACGTGTGACTGGGGGAATGGAGGAGGCTGGGGCATGAATGCAGATGGCATTGGGGACCCTGATTTTCAGGAAAGACAATGAGCTCACCACTTGGTGCCTTGTGTTGGGGGTGCTGTTTGCACATCCTAGAGAACATGCCCAGCAGACAGAGGAGCGGCTGTGGGATGAGGAGATGAACTCAGAGGTGCAGTGTGAGGCCTCTGGGTCCAGGCAGCATGGGAGCCCAAAGTGAAGACCCATGCAATAATGTTGCTTAAAAGGAGCTTATAAATATTAAAAGTAGTCATCCACGTGTGTTCCAATATAAATCCTATGTTCCCAAGGTCATGCAGATTGAGAAAGGAAGTGATGTCACGGTGGGAACTTCCATGTAAGGCCAGGGACGTCCCTCCTTCTCTGCTCCGGCTCATAGTGACCCTGATCTGGTAAAGCCCCCATCCTGCCCTGACTCTGCCATGGGCACCAGGCTCCTCTGTTGGGCAGCCCTCTGCCTCCTGGGAGCAGGTGAGTCCTCAGACACCAAGCAGTCTCAGTCTCACTGTGTGTGTGTGTGTGTGTGTGTGTGTGTGTGTGTGTAGGGGTGGGATGTATGTGTTTCTGTGATGACTAAAATTGTTTTCCTCATTCTGTTCCCAACTTCTGTCTCCACAGATCACACAGGTGCTGGAGTCTCCCAGTCCCCCAGTAACAAGATCACAGAGAAGGGAAAGGATGTAGCTCTCAGGTGTGACCCAGTTTCAGGTCATAATGCCCTTTATTGGTACCGACAGAGCCTGGGGAAGGGCCTGGAGTTTCTAATTTACTTCCAAGGCAATGATGCACCAGACAAATCAGGGCTGCCCAGTGATCGGTTCTTTGCAGAGAGGTCTGGGCGATCCTTCTCCACTCTGAAGATCCAGCGCACGGAGCAGAAAGACTCGGCTGTGTATCTCTGTGCCAGCAGCTTAGCCACAGTGGGGCACAGTCACCTCCTTCCTGCTCACAAACCTCATCCTTCTCTCTCCTTGCAGCTCCTGGAGACCCTTAACAGAGGCCTCCTTTGTTCCTCCCTCCCCAAGGGAAACAAGTAGATTTGGACCTTGGCTGTCCTTAGGTTAGAAAGAAACCACAAATTCACCCCTGGGACACAGCAACTGTAAATGTGGGTGGTGGTAGCTTCCAAACCAGCCATAATAATTCTGAGAGCTCTGTGCTCTTAGAAACTTCAGAGAACTCATCAATCCTTTCTGTGCTCAAACATCCCTTTGTCCCCTCTAAGACCCTGACCCACTTTGTCCACGTGAAGATCCTATCATGAAAACAGTGGGCTGTGCTATCGTGCTCATGCCTCATTTCTAGGCGTTGAGTATTAAGCACTGAAGAACTCTGAAAGTTGTGCTTCTGAGTCCAGTGATGTGCTGGAGCCAGATTTTCTGACTCACGAGAGACAAATAAGCACACTCTTCCCAGCTCCCCATTTGGTGAAGCCGTGTTGACAGCTTGAAATCCACCATGGGGCCTATGTTGATACAACAGAAATTGGTGAAAGCTTCCACCACCCACATGTCCCCACATCCACAGACAGTTTACTAGCACATCATTGGAATGCTTTCTGAGACAATGATGTCCCTGTTGCACCATGTCTTGTGAGGCTAAAAGGACTCAGAATTCACCTCCTTTCTGCTCTTCCTTTTAGAAACCATGGTCTAAGATGGCCTCAACTGACCTTATTTCTATTCAATCTGCAAATGCTCTTGTTTTGTGGGTCTGTGTCTCCTATAAGCTGGTCTGGAACATGACACCTATTACGAATGCAGCTAAAGGAAATGGTGAACCAGCTCATTAGTTTCAAATCATCCTCCCTTGCATGGAATACGTAGATGCTGCAGTCACTGGGAGCAGAGATGCGGAAGCAGCCGCTCTGGACTGCAAACCACTTTACAGCCAGCTGATTCTTCAGTGGCACAGACACACCCTGGGGCATGGACTAATTGGCTTTGGAAACTAAGCAGCTCCACACCAGTCAGCAATGACCTTGGATCTATTTTCCGATGAGAGGTCAAAAAGATCACACTCACTCTAAATGTCCTCCTCTCCAATATATAGTACAGCCCCCATCCATCTCAGTCCCTGGAGTTCATCCAGAGCTCCCAGAGAATCCCTGCTCTGGGGCAGAATCACCAAGACTGGTCCTTGCCAGCTCCCCACAGGCTCCAGCAGGGCTTTCCTGCCAGGTGCAGGGCACGGGTGTGGCTCTGCTGCCTCTCAGGTAGAGGGAGGCCATACGATGATGTTTGTGTAGGAAGGACTGGGTTTCTGAGGCTCCTCTCAAATATTTGACATAATTTTATTTGCTTTGTGTTTCACTCTACAATGTCACCATTTGGAGAGAGCAATTATTTTTGGTTGCATTATTTATGGCACTTTGAAAGACTTTTGTGGTTAACCTACTTTAAGAAATCATTCCAATTGTGCATCTCCTCTGTTCAGAAATATTCTGAGGCAGTGAGAGAAACAGCAATAATTTTGAAAGCAGTCACTTACACGTCCTGTGATGAAGGCATTGCTCAAGGTTTATTACTCACACCTAACTTTCAGTCTACTGGAAATGAAAGGGCACAGAGTTGGGGGCATGTGATCAAGCCACGAGAGAGGACTATGCCAGTTCCTGTGAGACTTCAGGGCAGGAATGACCTCTCCTTTAGTCCCTGCTCAACAGTGAAGGAAGAAGAGTTGGTCCATGGGAACCTGAGGAGGAGAAATACCGGGAGCCTTTAACTGGGATGGAGCAAGGGCTGCAGAGCAAGTCATTGGGAAGAGAAATGGTTCATCTGGTCTGTCACAAAAGACAGTGGCTACAAAGGTCCTATCATCCCCAGTTCCCTGGCTGATTTGCTTCCTTATGATGCTGTTTTACACCAGCATGCCCTCATCTCCCACCACTCCTCTGCCTCTTCCAGAATCATCTCCTCCCTCTCCGCTGCTCAGATCAGCAGACGGGCATTGTACAAGTTATCCCTTTTCTGAAGCTGGCCTTTTGCTGGTCTTATTTATATCCATCCTTATTTTCCCATAAGACACTGCTTGCTCCACGATTGCTTATTGCCTTGCAAGGTATTTTTATATTCCAGTTTTACTTTTTATTAACACGTTTGACCCCATCTTGAAGGTAATCACATTATCTGCTCAGTCTTTTGCTAATCTTTATTTTTATGGTAGCATTGTCATTTAGGGGGACATATTTATCTTTGATAATGGAAATGAAATAACATTACACTTCACTTTCTGTGTTTTTTTCTTCTTTAGAGTAAATGCTATTTCCTTCCATTCTTCCTATTCTATTCCTCTCTTTAGTTTTAAGGAAGAAAATGTCAGTGTGACTATAACGGCAGCTATGGGGTAAAAATTATTTAGAATTAGGGTAGGATATTAAGCTTGGTAACTCAAAGAAACAGTCTGGGTTAAAGCTAGTGTTGGGATAGGGGTTTAGGCAAGTTGCTCATAAAACCTGCAGGATGGCACTTCTGGAATATTCTCCCAGCTGACTCTGCAGGCACTTCCCAGCATCCCCTGGGCCACTGCAGAAGAAACAATGATCAATCTTTCACTCACTGGCCACAAGATGGCACTATGGCCCACTGGGATCTAAGGGACTGGGGCAATTTGGAAAGCAGCCTGGGTGGGAAATGGTTAAGAAAAATTAGGGCGTGGATCCAATATTAGGCAGATGTTGCAGCAGTTTTCAGTTATTGCTTGGCTACCTACAGATATGCAAGAGGCAGGAAGTTCCTCTAATCTTGATTGAGATCCACAGCTGAAGCACTTTGGCCAGGCAGCCTTGGTGTCAGGGACAGGTGCAGACAGAGGAGCAACTGTCAGAGGAACATGGGAAAGAGAAGGGAGGGCTGTGCCCTAAGCCCAGTGCATCTCTGCTGCACCCCATCTTTCCTGCAGGTCTCACCAGGCAACAACCTCCATGAGAATAGGTGGATCCTGCCTGAGCCTAGTTAGAAGTCCCTCAGGCTTTGCTTGTCTGGGAAAGTCTTTCCCCTTCATGTTTGAAGGATATTTTGACTGGGTATACTATTCTCGTATTAATGTTTTTTTTCCCAGCACTTTAAATATATTGTACTGCTATCTCTTGACCTGTAAGATTTCCACTGAAAAGTCTGCTGCTAGACCATATTGGAGTTCCCTTGCATGTTATCTGTTTCTCTTGCTGCTTTTAGAATCCTTTCTTTATCCTTGAAAATGGGAGTTTGATTATTCTCTTGATGTAGTCTTTTGGACCTAAACATTGGTGTTCGCTGATCTTCTTGTACTTTAATACTGATAGCTTTCTCTGAGTTTGGGAATTTCTTCTGTTATCATAGCTTTGAATAAACTTTCAGCCCTATCTCTTTCTCTACCTCCTCTTTAAGGTCAATAACTCTTAGAGTTGCCCTTTCAAGGCTATTTTCTAAATCTTATATGTACGCTTCATTATTTTTTATTCTTTTGTCTCTTCTGGTGGTATATTTTTAAATAGCCTGTCTTCAATCTCACTGATTCTTCTGCCTCATCAATTGTGAGGTCGAAACCCCCATGCATTCATCAGAATGTCAACTGCATTTTCAGCTCCAGAATTTCTGATTGTTTTTAATTATTTAAATCTCTTCAGGATTCTGAATTTCTTGCCTGTGTTATCTTGACATTTTGTTGACATGTGTTAATTATTACAATTCAAGGCGAGATTGGGTGGGGACACAGAACCAAACCATATCTGAGGGGGAGCTGCCACACACTTTTAAAATGACGGGATCTTGCAAGAACTCACTCGCTCTCATGACGACAGCAGCAAGCCATGAAGGATCTGCCCCCATGACCCAAATGCCACCCACCAGGCCCCACCTCCATCACTGGGGATTGTAATTCAACATGAGACATGGGTGGAGACTGTAAGCACACTCTGAATGAAGGACCCCCTAAAGAGGCTTTGCGTAAGCAACGAGGCTATTTGTTCACTCGGTGTGAGCGGACTGAATCTGAAAAGAGAGTCAGCAGAGGGTGGTGGGATAGGAGCTGGTTTTATAGGTTTGGGGTAGGCTGTGGAAAGTTACAATTCAGGGTGGTTTTTGCAAGTGGGGGGAGGCTGTCACAGGATCCAATGTCACAAGGTTGGCTTATTAGTTGAGGCAGGAACAATGGCAGAATGTCACAATGATGGTTAATCACACAGTGCAGGAACTAGCTATTCTTTTTTTGCAGTTTTTCTGTTACCTCAAACTTTCTGGCTCCAGGAGGCTATCTGGAGGTGCACGTGCAGGTCACAGGGGTCACCGTGGCTTGACTATGGTGTAGTCCGTGGTACAGTCAGTTCAAAGGACTTTACAGGGATGAATATTCAAACTCTATCATCCTGCCTTCTTTCCTCTCTCAAAACTCATGTCCTTCTCACATGGCAAGATGTAATTATGCCTTCCCAACAGTCTCCCAAAGTCTTAACTCATTCCAGAACTAACTCAAAAGTCCAAAATCTAATGACTCATTTGAGATGTCTTCTTCCTCGACTTCCGACTCTAGTCTTGACTCCTTGGGACACAGTCAAGTACTTCCTAAAACACAGAGGAGGTCAGGTCACTCTTGGTCCTAGAGGAACAAGTGCTCTCCAGTTTCTCTCAAGATAAATTCTGCATCCCTGGGATTCCTTTCTGACACTCAGTGCCCAGATTCAATGACCTTCTAATTAAACAGTCCTTTGAACATTTTCTAAAACTCATTGGACTTTTGCATTATCTGCATTTCTGTTCACTATTTCCATGGACAGAAACTTTCGTTCTCTCCAGACACATCCAGACCCTGCTCATCTGTCAAGGATGGTCTCATACCTGCTTTACTCTTTGCTTCTTACCTTGACATTCCCAGGAACCGGTCTGAATCGTTCCTTTCCTCCCTCCCTCCCTCCCTCCCTCCCTCCCTCCCTCCCTCCCTTCTTTCCTTCCTTCCTTCCTTCCTTCCTTCCTTCCTTCCTTCCTTCCTTCCTTCCTTCCTTCCTTCCTTCTTCTCTCTCTCTCTCTCTCTCTTTCTTTCTTTCTTTCGAGTTTTACTCTGTCCCCTGGGCTGGAGTACAGTAGCATGATCTCAGCTAACTGCAACCTCCACCCTCCCAGGTTCAAGTGATTCTCATGTTTCAGCCTCCAAAGTAGCTGGAATTATAGGCACATGCCACTATGCCTGGCTAATTTTTTGTATTTTTAGTAGAGACAGGGTTTCGCCATCTTGACCAAGCTGGTCTAGAACTCCTGATCTCAAGTGATCCACTTGCCTCGGCCTCCCAAGTGCTAGGATTATAGGTGTGAGCCACCACACCCTGCCCTGGACTGTAGCACTTTCTTTTCTTTATTTTCATAAGAAAAGCCAATTTTATAATTAATACTATTTGATGTTTGTAAAATGAATAAGCTAATGTACATTCACATAGAATCTTGGAGTCTCATTAATCACTATCTTCCTTCAATGGGACTCCACTTACTTGAAATGTAATGAAAATTCTTATAGTGTCAGTTTTTCATACAATCTCTGCAGTATTCTGAGCAACTCGTGTCTTCATAGTCAGAATTGATGGTCAGTGCTATAAAGTATCCTAATTCTATCTAAGGCTGGAATTTGCAAATATTCCTTTGGAGCAAATAAAATTGTGCTGTAGTCTCATGATCCTGCAAAAACAAATTGTTCGGCATAAACACACTTTCCACAGCCATGTTCTTACAGATTTGATGAGACTGGAACCTCATCAAAGGTGCTTCTCAGAAATCAACCTAAAAAACTGAAAAACTAGTTGAGCTCAGTAATGGAATCTCATCATCCTTTACAAGTAAAACATATTGTGTGTGTGCAGGAACAGAAAACCTAACACCACATGTTCTCATTCATAGTGGGAGTTGAACAATGAGAACACATGGACACAGGGAGGGGAACATCACACACTGGGGCCTGTTGGGTGGTGGGGGAAGGGGAGGTAGAGCATTACGAGAAATACCTAGTGCAGGGAGGCTTAAAACCTAGATGATGGGTTGATAGGTGCAGCAAACCACCATGGCATATGTATACTTGTGTGACCTGCACATTCTCCACATGTATCCCAGAACTTAAAGCAAAAATTAAAAAAAAAACTTTTTAATTGATATTTTGTGGTGTGTGTGTGTGTGTGTGTGTTTTCTGTGGAGACTTAGCTGCATGGATATAGTTTCTCAGTGTGGCATTAT